CTTCTTTGCTTTGTATTGTTCAATGAAAATTCAACGTCCTCAACAACTGTATCCCAATGCAGTCCTTTTTCTGGATCTGCTAATTTAGCTATCATTGGCCCTACTATTCGATTAATTCTTTCCACCTGCGCATTGGCCTGAGGTGACCCAGCCGCAATTTTTACGTGCTTAATATTATATTCTTCAACAAATTTTCCAAACTCTTCCGATGTAAAACAGCTTCCTCTGTCCGAAACGATACATGTTGGCCTGCTATACGACCTAAAATAATCTTTCATTGCTATAATAACTTCTTTTGTGTTCGTCGTCTTTGTTGCATAAAGCCTAACATATTTAGTAAAACCGTCTATCACCACAAACAAATGTTTCTTTGATCTTCCATTATCAACCGGTCCGTAATGATCGATATGTATAATTTCAAATGGCACATTTCCTTTTGGTATGCTGAGCAACATTCCTTCCCCTTTTCCTGACTTTGGCGAATATGCCACACATCTCAAACAATTATCAATATGTCTAACAACTTTTTCTTTCATATTCGGAAACCAATACGTCCTAACAATAGCATCCATAACCTTGTCTCGTCCTAAATGACCTAATTCATTGTGATATTTGTATAGTATCTTGTCCTCCATTTCTCCTGGCACACAGAATAACAATTTCCCATCATTTGATTTTCTATAAATAACTCCATTTCTCATCTCAAACATTTTATCTTCCTCTTTTTCTAACTTTTTCCTAACATCTTTCAACTTTTCATCTTTCGCTTGACAAATAATTAAATTGTCTTCAAAACTATTCGTTTCTACTACCAGTATATTCGTATTCCTACTTAACGCGTCTACGTGTTGCATAAGTTTTCCCGATTTATGAACTAACTCAAAGTCATACTCAAGCAATTCTAATGCCCATCGTGCAATTCGAGGGTTTAACTCAATCCTATTTAATGTTAACGTCAGTGAGTTACAATCAGTAACTATTCTAAATCGTCTACCCTGCACATAAATTCTAAATCTTCGTAGAGCATAAATTATTGCTAACGTTTCAAGTTCAAAACTGTGATATTTTGCCTCGTCTTTTGTTGTGGCCTTTGAAAAATAAAAAATAGGGTGCAACTTTTTATCCTCTTTCCTTTGTAGTAAGACCGCTCCAAAACCTTGTGCGCTTGCATCTGTATGCAATTCTATCTCGTCTTTATAATAATATAATCCTAACACTGGCGCTTCAACTAACATTTTCTTAAGCATCTCAAAACATTGTAGTTCCCTTTCTTTAAATGCAAACTCTTTATCTTTCTTTAACAGGTCATATAATGGTTTTGCGATCATCGAAAAATTCTTAATGAATCTCCTAAAATACGAACATAAACCTAAAAAGCTTCTAACACCATGTACTTTATCTGGAACAGGGAAATCTCTAACAGCTTCTATTCCTTTATCATTAGCTTGTATTCCCTTGCTGGTTACTAAAAAACCTAAATATTGTACACTTGCTTGTAAAAACTCACATTTGTCCATTCTCAATTCTAGTTTGTTTCTTGCTAAACGATCAAAAACTTCCCTAAGAACATTTAAATGTTCCTGTATCTCTTTACTGGCGATCATAATGTCGTCCATATATATTACTACCTTACCATCCCTAATCATGTCCGCAAAAATTGTATTAATAAATCTCTGAAACACCGCAGGAGCGTTTTTAAGCCCCATTGGCATCCGCATAAATTCAAATTGTCCTAATGGCGTCATAAATGAAGTATATTTTATTGAGTCCTTATCCACAAATACATGAAAGTAGCCATGTTTTAAATCTAATTTCGAAAATATTGTTTTATTTACTAAAGTGTCTAACAAATCGTCGATTAAAGGTAAAGGATAGTTATCTTTAACCATTGTTTTATTAAGTTTTCGATAATCCACACTTACGACTAAGTCGCCTGTTTTCTTTTTTACTAACACTATTGGAGATGCGTACTCCGATTGACTTGGTCTTATAATTCCCTCGTTTAAGTATTCATCTAATATAATCTGTAACTTTTCTTTTTCTGTATAAGCTAAACGTCTGGGCGAACAACTAAAAGGTTTAGAATCCTCTAATCTTAATTTTATTTCACATCTAACTTCGGGTTCCTTTGGTCTTTGTTTATTTACATAACAGCTTTCTACCATTTTAATAAAATGACGCCTGACATTATAATTCACTTCCTTGCCAATTTTGTTATCTGGACTTTCATCTATAATATTAATATTAAATAATTCCTTTGCCACTAGATCTATTTCATTGCTATTCCTAACTATTTCTTTATCTGTAACTTTACTAACTTTTCTAATCATCTGCCTATTGTCGCTAATTTTATCACTAACATTGCTAACTATCTGGTTTTCATGACTAACAATATCACTAACAATCTGCTTTTCTTCTCTAACATTTCTAACAATATCACTAACAACACTAGTTTACAGCCGAAATGCTCCCCAGCAATTGATGGCAAATTCTGTTAGTGCTGGACCCCTAGATCACAAAAATAGCACTTATTTTTTTTTCGATGGCACAGTTTTTTTTTAAAGATTTTTTAAAGTTCGAAATGTTAAATTTCGGCCTTTTTTCGAATTTCTTCTTATATCTCGGCAGATATCCACTCGGTTGGACCAGTTTTAGTTTTATTTTAAAGTCAATAGATCAGAGCTTAACTTTGCCATACAGATCAATACGATTGGATGAGTAATGGCAGCGCAGAAGCTCGACAAAGAGGAAAAATGTGTTTTTTGGTCGTCTGTAAGTCGGCTGTATATATCGTAAAAGCTCGAAATAAATCCGCTGAAAAATCATAATGGGTACAAACTTAAAGTTTACATCCTACCGAATAAAACAAGTCGGATATGGCCCAAATCCATGGAAAACTGGATTTATGGTGGATTTTTAAAGTTCGGATTTTTCCACTTTTTATACCCTTGTAGAGGGTATTATAATTTCAGTCAGATGTTTGCAACGCAGTGAAGGAGACGTTTCCGACCACATAAAGTATATATATTCTTGATCAGCACCAATAGCCGAGTCTATCTAGCCATGTCCGTCTGTCCGTCTGTCCGTCTGTCCGTCTGTCCGTCTGTCCGTTTCTATGCGAACTAGTCTCTGAGTTTTAAAGCTATCGCGATGAAACTTTCCCGAAGGTCTTCTTTCTATTGCAGGTAGTACATATGTCGGAGCCAGCCGGATCGGACCACTATATCTTAAGGCTCCCAAACAAATATAAGAAAATTCATTGTAACTTTGTAGGAAGTAGGCGTTTTGATTCTTGACTACTTAAAAACAAAATTGAAATAAATCGAAACGCTGAATCTGGAATCCCTGGAACTGCACCGAGTGAGTATTCTTTTATCTACAAGGGTATATAAGCTTCGGCTGGCCGAAGGTAGCTTCCTTTCTTGTTTCGGTTGACAGAGTCCAAACTTAAGATTTATCATAGGCGGCGACATGTAAACAAAAATAATTGGTGTTGGCAGCCGGGTCACTAAATAGCTAAATCAGATATTTAAAAGCTAGAAAATTATTAAAGTGAATTTAATTTTTTAATTAAGGTTACTTTTTTCATAAGAATGAACTATCCAAATGGATAGTACTTAGTTAAAAATACTCACAGTCATAACGCAAGCAATTTTATATTTTTAAAGGAATTTTCAGAAATTAAATTTATTTTATAATTTTCTAGCTTTTAAATTTAGCTATTTTTTGACCCGGCTGCCGTCACCACTCATTTTTGTTTACATGTCGCCGCCTATGATAAATCTTAAATTTTGACTCTGTCAACCGAAAAAAGTGGAAAAATCCGAACTTTAAAAATCCACCAAAAGTCCAGTTTTCCATGGATTTGGTCCATATCCGGCTTGTTTTATTCGGTAGGATGTAAACTTCAAGTTTGTACCCATTATGATTTTTCAACGGATTTATTTCGAGTTTTTACGATATATACAGCCGACTTACAGACGACCAAAAAACACATTTTTGCTCTTTGTCGAGCTTCTGCGCTGCCATTACTCATTTAGTCGTATTGATCTGTATGGCAAAGTTAAGCTCTGATCTATTGACTTTAAAATAAAACTAAAACTGGCCCAACCGAGTGGATATCTGCCGAGATATAAGAAGAAATTCGAAAAAAGTCCGAAATTTAACATTTCAAACTTTAAAAAATCTTTAAAAAAAACTGTGCCATCGAAAAAAAAATAAGTGCTATTTTTGTGATCTAGGGGTCCAGCACTAACAGAATTTGCCATCAATTGCTGGGGAGCACACCAAGAATATTATTTTGTAAACTAGTGCAATCTGCTTTTCTTCTCTAACATTTCTAACAATATCACTAACAATCTGCTTTTCTTCTCTAACATTTCTAACAATATCACTAACATTTAGAGGGTTTTCAATGCTCTCAACCGTAACCATTTTCAAAGTGTCGAAGTTTAAAGTAATATTACATGCTTCCATAAAATCTCTTCCAAGAATTACATCATGGCTCATAGATTTGTTTGCCACAATAACTAAATGAAAATGAATTTTATTCAAGTTCTTCATAACATAACATAATATTTTTCCAAAGGTTTCTAAGTAACTCTTATTTAATCCATGATATAAATTTAAAACTGGTAATTTGCCAACATTTTCTGGTACTTTTGATATTTTAATAAATGAAATTGGGCTCCCTGTATCAATGAGGCATTCTGTAGTTAACCTGGTATTAAAATCGTTCATAAAATTAATTTCAAAGTATCTTACATAACTATTATTGACTTCGTTCTTATTTTTGTTCTTCAAGCACGTCGCCACAAAATGTCCCCTCTCGCCGCACGCATAGCACGATCCTTTCTCCCGTTTTGACTTCCTGCACTCGTTCGCCCAATGCCCTTTGGCATTGCAATTGAAACATCGTGTCTCCTTCTTGTCCTTGAAGTCCATTGATGTCATCGGTTTTCCAACAGATTTCGGCAATCTAACATCCGCAAATGCTCGCTTTATGTGCGCAACATCCACAAAGCATTGATTGTGGCCAGATTGCGCAGCCCTTGATTTGTAATACCTTCGATGATGCAGCTCAACATTTCATCTGCATCAATATTAATGCCCTGAGCACGCATTATCTTGTCGTCAACATAACTCCCGATTACGATCAGCTCAGCCGTCAATTCCTCCAATGGCAACAAAACACGCCCACCATTTGCGTGCAACCAAACATTCGCTTTGCCTTTAATTTTGCTAACCATCAACAATTTTATATAGTTTCCAGTTATACCATAGATGCTTGCGATATTATACATCTGAGTGATCCATTTGCGAGCACATGATTCGCCCGCAAACTCACACAACACTTTCGTAGCCATTCTCAAAGAAATGTCTATACTTTGATTAAAATTGTTCTCCATCTTTTCTTTCTCTCTAGCTTGGTTCTGCATGTTCACTTCTGCACAGTTTCGATTTCTGCCTCCACCTTTGTTCTGTTCGCCGTCTCTTTCGTAGCTTCTTTCACCTCTTGTTTCCTCGCCAGCTTCGCTTTCGTTTTCTCCATCTTCGCTTATATATTCCCGAACTTTTTCACCGTCTTCGCCTTTGTCGTTCTTTTCGCCAACTTTGTTCTTGCCTTCTCCATCTTCGCTATTAATTTCGTCGCCTTCTTCTACTTCGTAATCCTCTTTACCGCCGTCTTCGTTGTTACTTTTGCCGCCGTCTTCTTCCTCGAAATTCTCGATGCCGCAGTTACTTCTATCGCCGTCTCGTTCTTGGAATTTCTCGTTGCCTCCGTCTTTGCATTTACTTCTATCGCCGTCTCGTTCTTGGAATTTCTCTTTGCCTCCGTCTTCTCCTTTACTTCTTTCGCCGTCTCGGTTCTCCTTCATTTCGTTAAACTTATTGCGTTTTTCGCTCGGTAATTTGTTTAAACGTAAAATCAACTCCTGTTTTGTACCAGTCGTAAAACATTTTAATACACTTAGGGCCGGTTTCTCGAGTCCCTGTCAAAGTCCCTGATAGCTATCTGTTCGAAAAACTTAAATACCAGATAAACTGTTCGTAAAAGCAAATCCGCTTTCTCGACTGCTTTAATTTATCTGAACGAGAAACAGATACAGAGTGCTGTTAACGCACAGAATTGTGCTGTGAAGCGCAAAAAATGGCATGCTTCGATTATTTCATCAGCTGTTTGGGTATAATTTAAAGGAAAAGTCAGCTGTGATTTTGTTTCTTCTTCATAGTTGGCTTTGGGAAATCAGCTGTCATTCTATCGAGTCGAAAACGCTTAACAGGGACTCCGAGTCCCTGTCAAAGTTAGCTCTCACATTTATGCTCGAGAAAGCCAAAATGCCTTAGCAGGGACTTTATCTGTTCGAGAAATGTTAGCCGGCACTCGAGAAACCGGCCCTTAACCATATTTTTAATTGTTTTATCGATACTTTGTTCAAATCCATTTTGTTTTATTAAATTGTTTCACTTTCTTAGTTTTTAAACTTGTAGTTTTTAATTTGTTTGGCACGTGATCGGCCCACTTCTGATTTTGTAGGGGTATGATATATGTCCCTATTAATGAAATACCACACAGTAAAATATATGTTTACACAAAATAGTTTATAATTTTATTATAGTTTTATTTCACAAATTTTATCTGGTCAGGATCACTGCTGGCATTCAACTGAACTCGCTCTCAGCTCACGACTCGCACCAACCCCCGACTCTCTGAGAGAGTGAGTGTGGTGAGATCGCAAGAGAGAGAGAGCAAGCTCTACAACAACAACAACGTACTTTAAGAATATTCAGGAATGTTCTAGAAGGAACCCAGCGGGAATGTGAGAAGTTGGTTTTTGTGTTCTTGAAATCCTGTTCCTTTTTGCAGGCGGCGGTGTAGGGATAGATAATTTCTGAGTGCTAAATGAGGGTGGGTTTCTGAGTAGCATCAATATCAGGCCATTTATGCGCTGTGTGATTTCTGTGGCACTATGATTATAATATTTTTTAACAAAAAAATCACCAACTTATAATATTCATAAATCCTATGATTTACACCAAAACCAAAAGACTTTTTCTCACATTTAGTTTTAATTTTTAGTAATTTTAAAAGTCGTAGAAAAAATATTAATAATTGTTAATCAAAAAAATTAAACTATATAACATTATTATCATAATGTCTATAATGATAATATTAATTTATTTTACTCAACATTTTTCAAATAATAATAAGGATGAATGTGGAATTCAACCAAATTATAGAGAAAAGCCACGGTAAGACGATTAAAATATTTGATCACATTTATCAAGGAATTACATTAAATTACAAAGAAAACTATTGTTGTTTTTTACATTTTTAAACATTTTCTGTGAAATAAAATAATTTGATCGTCAGATCGTGGCCTAAGCCATTTTTAAGTGTTGTTAAAATATAAAAATTCGTGTTGGTGGTATTGATAACACGAAAAATGCCTAATATACCTATAATATACGTAACCTTTAATGATTACGGTCCCTGAAAAGTATTGTTTAAATATTTATTCGGCGCCAAAGTGTGACCCAACTTTACAACGAAATTTACCCCACATTTATCTGCATTTTGTATGGTATTATCAAGAATATAATGCAGGGTCACATCATTTTTAAATTTGTTGGAAAAAGTGAAAAAAAACTGAAAATAGTTAATTTTAATCTAAAAAACAATAAAAAGGTGAGTGATAAAATGAATTTTGTCTTTTTATAACCTTTATTTCAGCGTTACAAAGGTTAGTATCACAGATATTTTCGCCATTAATAAATATACGCCTCCGGATGCTATCTTCTTTTTTTTTTTTGGCTTTGATTTCAACGAACGTTGAAAATGAAGGTTGGTCGCACGACTAGTGCATATGACCAGATACTTTGTCTTGAATTTTGTAATACACAAACTTAACCTAAAAGTGAATCCACACCACGAGGTCCCTTGCCCTACCCGGCGTGAAATGTGCGTGTTTCTTCAAAGGCCTGTGAATGTGGACTGCAAGGGATGCTATCTTCAATACAATTCTGCTTTTCAGTGACACTTGAAATGTTTTTAATCTTTACCAGTGGTAAATGGTGTGAGGTGTTCATTAAATGGTTGTATAAATAGTACTTCAGTACTAACTTAGTTGTTTAACTTAATCAAAATATTACATTTATTTCAGCCAGGCCGACTGAGACTTCTTGGGACCAGAAGTGTTGCGCCTGCGTTTGTCATATTTTATTTTTTCTTCTCATAGTTTTTGATATAGATACCCGACATAAAACAACTGAACAGAGGGTAAATGATCGGCCATGGCAAACCAGGCATAATTTCTGGAGAGATCCTTTAATTTTGTGCGGAGACCTAATAATGGTAATTACTCTTATTATTATTCCTGGTCTTACATTCATATCTAAATTATGTTTGATATTTTCAGAAGACAGACAAGAAATGGATATCTAAGTACTGCATTCGGCCAAGCAAAACCCGGGAATGCTTCATGCATTAAAAATTTGTAGTTCCAATGCTTCGATAATAAATACACAAACAAATATTACAAAAAAACATGATTTTTATTGTGGAAAATCAGATACTGCAAAGCAGTGCAAAACCAAAACTGCGAGGGTCTGGAAAAACCAAAACTGGGAGGGTGTAGAAAAACAGATATTGCAAGTGGAGGAAAACCATAACTGGGTACGTGTGGAAAATCTATAATGCGGGAAGTCGAAAAACCAGTGGATTTTGTCCTGCATTCTTCTGCCAGAGATCCAGATAGAAACCTCATTTCCCCCTTACTTTTTGTGTCACCCCCGTGTATTTTGAAACCAGAGATGGAAGAAATGTAAGGGGTGAATGAGGTTTAGTCCCTTCCGCTTCTATGGAGAAACCTCTTGAAAATATGTTATTTTCCAGAGGAATTTTCCCGGTGGGTATACATATGTATCTAATGGCTGTGTGTGTAAAATACGCATTTTTTGGATATATTTATTTTGTGCGTGTGTGTGTACATTAGGGTGGTTTTTTTTTGTATGAAAAATTCTAAGCTCCTACTCTCACCCCCTTATACTTTGCGCATTGGTGCATTTAAGACATACCAAAAAGAAAAAGTATAAAAAAATGCGATTTAGTGCTTGCGCATTGACCTTTAAGTTTATCACTCATACGAACTGTTGCCCTTGATCAAATATTTTAATTTCATATAGATGGCGTAGACTTGTCATTACTTATTGAGTCTAAACATAAAGGTAACCTTGTCACCTTTACAAACGGCTAAAGAAAAATAAAATCGCTATGGCAACATAAGTTCCAATATTTAAGGGAGTCACACCACAAATCAAACAAATATTTTTTTTTATTTATCGCCCCCAAACTATATGCAGAATATGTGGATAAAAAGCTATTTAGATATTTTTAAAAATCTTAATGTACGTATCGTGGCCAAAAAAATACTTGCTAGGGTTTTATAACAAGTTTAGAACCCAAATCGAAACCTAAATTTTTACTTTAGTTTGTTTTCGTAGTCTAATGAATTACGTGGACTATTATTCAACAAAATCGTCTAGATCTACATTTATTGAATCCTTCATACAAACAGACAAACAAAGCAATATAATTATACCGAAAATTCATAAATTTATTTATTTTGTTATATCCCTGCATTATAGGGTACAGGGTATTATAATTTCAGTCAAAAGTTTGCAACGCAATGAAGGAATGATATCCGACTATATATTCTTGATCAGCATCACCAGGAGAGTCGATCAAGCCATGTCCGTCTGTCTTTTCTTGTTAAGTCGCCTTATTCGTCAAAGGACGTACTCGAATTTCCTTGCTCTCCCATACGCTAACCAGCATTTTTGCAACAAGCTGAGCACTTTCAGATAAGAAACTTTGTTTTAGAGGAACTGTCCTGTAGAGCAAAGTACGGTCCTCTTTAACGGCCAAGTTTCTTCTTCATCAAAATTGAAATTTAGCTTTCCAACCAAAAAAAGGTGCTCTCCATTTTGTTAACGATTATGAACGAAATCAAATATTTGACAAGTGTAGATATGGGAAAAGATTTTTGCCTACCCAAAACTCATACTGGCTGACGTGCCGTATGAGTAATTTTTTTGGAAACTTTGAGACCATTGCGCAAGCCCTTAGACTTAATTTAAAATTTTTTGGATTTTAGTTTAAGTTATTTTGCACAAATATCTTGTGTTTAAAAGGGTGAGATAAAAATTTCTTATAAAAAACAGCCCTAGTGTACATAGCTGAGCAAATCATTGTTTGTTTTTGTTTTTTACAATCCAAAGTTTGTCGTTAACTCAACATTTGAAAACTAATAAATAGTTTGCTGATCGGGCTTTTGCATTTTAATAAACAGAAGCAATTTTAAGGAAAATTTCGACTGTAAAATTCAGCTTAATGGGATTTCTGTAAGGTCTACCAATACTTTAAAATTTACCGTTTACTTAAGAAAAAGGCGCAAAAGAAAAGATTTGCGATATAATCGATTTTTTAACCGCGCATTTAAAAAGTGTTATGAGTGTTGGATATGGTATTTTCATTTTCCCTTGCGAGGTCACACTTAAAGTGCGACAGCAGGACATACATACATACATGCGCCAGCAGAACATACATACAAACATATGGGGACGCGTGACGTCACATCAGGTTAGCAAATTTGAAAATATTGGGGACTTGGTTAAGGATGCAGAATCTCCAAGAAATTTAAATGCAGTTATTTGCGGGTATGCCATAAGATTATGAACATCACATTTTTAAACCATTTTAACAACATTTATAACAGAGAAATGGCAAAAGAAAGAATTAAAAAAAAACAAGAAAGGAAGCTAGCTTCGGCCAGCCGAAGCTTATATACCCTTGCAGATCATTCCTATTAATTAACAA